CCCACAACGGACCAACTAACCACCATCGGCTTCGCAAAGATGCTGGTAAACCACATCATCTGCAAACATGGTCGAATCACCGCGCTCCTCACGGATCATGACCCACGGTTCACGGCACAAGCCATGCGCAATGCAGCCAAGCAACTGGGCGTAAAACAGCTCATGTCCTCGTCATTCCACCCGCAAACAGATGGTCAAACCGAGCGCGCGAACCGCGTGCTGCAGGAGGTCCTGCGTAACTACGTGGGTCCTGACCTCACGGACTGGGAAGACTGGTTGCCAAAGGCAGAATTCGCCATCAACAACAGCAAGAACGAGTCCACCGGACAAACACCGTTCTACACTGTCTACGGACGCACCATGTCACTACCACACGACCACGACTTGCCACTGCAGCAGTCCAAATATCCGGCGGCAGACGAAATCGCCGACAGCCTCACCCAATGGGTTACACTGGCCACGAAGTGCCTCGACGCCGCAAAGCAGCGCCAAGCCAAATACGCGAACAAAGCTCGCCGTGACGCCCAGTTTGAGGTTGGACAGCACGTCCTGCTGAGCACCAAGAACTTCACGTTCCGGGCACCCAACACGAAAGGCCTTGGCAAGTTCATGCCACGCTACATCGGCCCCTTCCCCATCACTGCCAAGGTGGGCGAAGCCGCGGTTCGACTACAACTTCCAGCGCACTTGCGCATGCACGACGTATTCCACGTCTCTAAAATAAAAGCCTACAAGGCTGGCAGCAACGCGCCACCCCCACCTGCGATTCCCGCAGCTGAGGGCGAACCGTTGTGGTACGTGGACGAGATCCACGCCCACCGGCAGTCTCGCAGCAGGCGCCGCATCACCACGGAGTACCTCGTCAGGTGGCACAAACTGGGCCCTGAGTACGACTCCTGGGAGTCCGCAAAGGACTGCAATCAAGGATGCCCAGAAGCAATCCGCGCATATCACGGGAAACTGTACGCAAAAGGCGTACCTCTACCCTAAACATCCACCTCACCCAAGGCGCCCCGAGGACGGGTTCGCATTCAAGAGGGGGGGAATGTAACGCCGCTAAGGCGGCCCTCGGCTCACCGGGCCAACGGTCATCGTACCAACGGTACATTCAAGAACTATTCATAGTCTTTCCAATACCAAACGGTATTTATCAATACCACCTTTTATCGTTGGATAATTCTCTTCGTAACTGCTTCGCCAACTGCCGAGCTTTGTTACAGCCGCGGCAAGCAAAGAGGAATAATTAGGGTTCGTACGGTCGAGAATATGAAAAGTAAGGATTGTTAAAATAGGGGGGTCCTTGTGAAGCAGCTGCCCGCGTTTCCAAAGCACGTATGGTGTTGGATTGTAAGGTGCCCAAGTACGTTTGCGAGGAAGAGAATGTGGCCAGGCTGGAGAGGAAAGTGCAGTGGCATATTGGAATGTGAGATTAGTGTCGACGCTGTTTAGTGGAAGCTGGTTACAGGGTGTTTGGCGCATGTACTTGTAGTTCTGTCTTCGCGCGCGCGTATGCAAGAACAACAAGAACCACAATTAGAAGAAGATGAAGAACATCATCACAGGAACAGCTCGTGCACAGGCCACGAAGAAAAAAGCCTAGGTTCAAGTTCCCTGTCGCGCGTGGATGGCCATGCCAGAACAGGCAACATGATGGGTGAACTTGCACGCTACCAACTTACCCCCGAGCACGCGACGAGCGGACATAGCAAGGAGCGCAGCGGGCTCGCCTTTAACTCCGAACGGTTACACAATAGACCATCCCAAGCCGTTCACACACGAGTTAATGTTGGACATGTATGCACCGTGAATGAAACCCTAAGTGCGACCGTGCCTAAATTCAACAGCACCGCTCAATGTCCAGAAGCCTAGCGCCGAAATTGTGGGACTTTATCCGTCAAGCGTTAAGTGTTCAGTTGCTGTGTGGGCTAGGCAAGCGTGGCAGGGGCGTCATCGTCTTGGCCACCGCGTACCAGATATATTGGCGATGTGAATGAGACGCTGCACCTCGGTACCTGTGCGCAATGCGTACGCTCCTCGACCGCGCCGACCAAAAGTACATGTTCCCATCTGAAGCCAATGCCGGTGGTTACTCAGCAGCTCTTTAGCTTGCTGCTGGCTCAAGTCCTTTCGTAGTTGCTGCAACACGGCTAACGCAGGCACGGCCGAATGCGCTGCGAATAGCTGTTCCAAGCCCTCAGCGGCATCCATTTTACTTGCAAGGTTCTGAACGACTTTCGCGATTCTTATGTTTACCTAATTCTGCGTTGTTATTATTTATTTCGTAAGAGTGTAAGTTGAGTTTAGTCGGAACCATGTGCATTATGCGCTGCGCTACCGAAAGCAGGCGCCTTATGGCTTGCACACAACTGCTTCTTCGCCGAACGCTTCATCTTCCCGCGGCAGTTTCACGAGCCCAGTCTTGCAAGCTACGACGTAGGCTTTCGGTGCTATCAGATACTGCAAAGCAGCCACGCAATAGTCCAGCCTGCATGCCGGGTGCGACTATGGCCAACATGCCCACCTGCGCAACGCGCTGGCGCACCTGGTCCTCATCCGCCAAGAAATTTTATATACATTTGTACAGGCGCATTTTGCGAATCGCACGCGCGCATCTGCGCGGCAAAATTCGCTCCTGACTTTTGGGACGAGATGTACGGATTCTCTATTCGCGAAGTACGACCGGACACATTTGTGCGAGGGGCTGCTTAAAGAGGATTAGGAAGCAAAGAGGATGAATTAGGCGAAGGAAATGAAGATTTAAATTATAGGACGTTCTTGTTGAGGACTGCAGAAAGAGACGTGTACGGACGAGAATATGAAAATTCAGGATTGTTAATGAATCACCAAAGTGTTTCCTTTTGATACTCTCATTGCCGTGTTTGTCTTTAAAGACAACAGGGCCCAGGCTTTTACGAATCCACCCCATGAATATCCGAACACATCCCAGGCAAACCAGGAGAGGAATTTGGCCTTTGCGCCGCCAAGGTACAAAACCAGGATTAAGACGAAGAAGGCTTTTGCAGTTTGGAAATTGTTTCAGCACTTCAAGCAACTGAACACGCCATTGGACCATTTGCAGATCCTTGAAGATCCGTTTGCAGTTCCCTGTCTTTGCTTGGATTTGATAATGAAAGGGCGGTTATTAAGCCCTTCTACGGACAAGCTGGATGCGGTGTTGGCATCACTCGGCAAAAAAAGGTACGCGTGCCCGCTGGTGCTCCGGATGTCAGACGAGCTGATTTATCCAAGTGTCGTTTGCCAAGCGGGACCAGGGATCTGGTTGCTTCATGCAAGGGGTCACGCGCTGGTGTAGGCAAAGACAGAGCCGGAGGCTGGTGTACAGCCACCGTGGACGGCTCATCCGGTATACACTCCTCTTCCTGTTCAGTTATGAGGATCTGAACCTCGGAGGCGACGGCTGCAATTGAGCATGCCAAGATGGCGGCATCCTCAAGTGAGTCCGGAATGGGGTCGATCTGGGTGGTGTTCCATCAGATGTCCCAAGCGGCTCAAACCATCCACGTTTGAATTCTTACGTCCGGCCTTATGCATTCTTTCAAAGTCGTAGGCTTGAAGCTTGAGCGCATATCGAGCCAGCTTTCCCAGAAGGTCTCGAGCACGTGCAGTCCGCAGAGACCAAACCGCCATCTAATCCGTGATGAGTACAAAATGAGTGCCGTACAAGGAGGGGTGAAAGTGTTTAATTGCCCACAAGGCAGTGTAGGCCTCTCCATCTGCCGCGCTGTAATTCAGTTGTGAGCCAGTCATAGCCTTACTGGCCAACTGAACGGCATATTCATATCCTCTGTTGTCCTGCTGAGCCAGGCACACGGCAACAGTGGTGGGGCACCAGTCGACTTGGACCAAGAACGGCCGTCGGAAATCAGGTGCACGGAAAACAGGCTCCCGTAGTAAAGTATTACATAGCTCTTAAAAAGCGTCTTCTTCTCTTGGACCCCAGCACCAGGGTGTCCCCTGCTTAAGTAGCGCATACAATGGCTGTGCAATCAAGCCGAAGCCAGGGATAAGTTCCCGGTAGTAACCAACAGCTCCCAGCCATGCTTGTACTTCACGAACATTGGATGGAGACGGAAGTTCCGCAATTTTCATGACGTTGGCGGGGTTAGGGCCCACAACACCATGTACTCCGTCAAGTAGGTGACCAAGAAAAACCACGCGTTGTTGGCCAAACGTGCACTTCTTAGCTGCGATCTTGAGACCAGCCATTCGGAGAAGGTCGAACACTTGCTGAAGATGTCGTACATGATCTTGTAGTGTCGGGTTGAAGATAAGGATATCATCCAGATAGACCACTACACACCGTTCCTGCGGTGGGCTATCCAACAAAGCAGGGGGTGGAGGCGAATCCTCTAGTAGTGGGTCCAGAACCTTGTGCATCAGGGTAGCGAACACAGCGGCCGCTCCCTTTAGACCCATGGGCATTCACACATATGCCGTACGCTCCTTAGAAGCCTCATCCGCCATCGGGACTTGCCAGTAGCCTGACTTCAAGTCCAGGCTGGAGTAGTAACGAGTCTCGCCACCTGGAGGTGCAGCAATATCTAATCTATCCTGGATGTGGCCTATCGGAAACCGAATGTCCTTAGTGACATCGTTGACCCTCCGCATATCCACACAGGGCCGGAGTTCTCCGTTTTTCTTGGGGACGACTACGACTGGAGACACCCAAGGACTGTTGACCAGTTCGATAATCCCGTCCTGTAGTATCTGCCGCATCTCAGCATCAACGGTGGCTTTCTCCGTCCGTGACAGACGGTAAGGATTCTGCACGATAGGAGGATGATCTCCCATGTCCACCTTCATGGACACCCAGGACGTAAGCCCTAGCTCTCGGTTGGTTAAGGTGAACATGTCAAAGCTGTCAGTCAAACATGTGACCAGCTGCTGGTGTTCAGGGTACTGAAGATCGGTGTTTACTTTGTTGCTTAGCAACTCGTGTAGCGCAGGGGTAGGGCTCTTGACTGGCCGAACCGCACGGGCTACCAACACGCGAAAATGAGCCTCCTCCAAATGTCCGTCATGATCCAAGCCTCTGGGGCAAGGGCAGCTGGCATATTCGCATCAAACTGTGCTGCTGCAGCATGGTTGTGGGTAACAGAAATACGCTCCTCAGTTAGCAGTCGTGGTAACAGGAGCTCTTGAGAGCTCAAGACAGGAATAGTTTCAGGAAAAGAACGGAACGGATCCGCAGGGGTCGATATTGGCGGTCCAGGACCAGAGTGCGAGTCGTTGTCGTACTCAGACACATCTCCAGGCCAGACATTTGCCCAAGCCTCTTCAGTGCCAGAACTGGTGACGCTGTCGGTACTCCATGCATCCGCAGCCCATTCACCGCTGGAGGCACTTTCCGACGGAATCTCGTCTGACCTAAGTGCTTGCCGTACAAGGATGTCGATGATGTGTTCCATGTCCATGTTCCCACGGGTTGTTGAATCACCATCACTGAACTCTCCGCTGCTTCCCACAGGTGAATCAATGGTCTCAGGCGCGGAGCCTCTACTGATAGCCGCAGGCGATATCTGCCCTTGTGGTGTGGGCGTCTCAGGCCACTGTATTGATGCCTCGGCCGTCAACATGGAAGCTGGTTGAGTGTCGTCTTGCTCAGGTGAGTCGTCCCAAAGCCGAGCAGACGGGGGAATATTAGAGCCGGGGCTCCGAAGAAAATGGATAGCAATGTTGGACCGCTGATCCCGGTCTGTAGCAGTCGCTCACCTGGCGGGTCGACTGACTTAGCGGAAGCGTAGAGTTTACAGTCCTCGCCGGAGTGGGAAGAAGTCCAACCAAGCGGCAAGCACTAGTGTACATAGACGCGTACGAACACAATCAGAGACGGCGGCAGCAGAGTCTTGAACTCCGAACACCTAGTAATGTGATACGTCAGTGTCTGGCCAGAGCACCCCGCCCGGGTAGCTTATATCTCGGCCTACCTGCCGGAGATTCCCTACCACGGACTTGCCGTACTAGGATAATGTTGGTGGGGCCCGGGGCCCCAGCCCGTTAGGTTCACTTACGAACAACCGCCATGTTCGGTACATGTGACGAAGCTCGTAACATGTACGAAACTTGAGACGAATCGTTAACGAATTAACAGTTATTGTTAAAAGTAATTGTTGAAATATTCTAAGGGAAATGTAGCCTGCTACAGTCTTCCCCCTCTGAAGTGAACCGTCCCGGGAGCGTTACTTCTTCTTAGAAGTTTTCCGTCCCTTAGGTTTTTCCGGGGCTTGAGGGTGCTTCTTAGACGCAAGTTTGCGTTCATATTCGTCGATGGATTCCGCCAAGGGAGTAGACTGGCGAAGGGATTCCTCTGGTTCATAGGTATTATGACTAGAGTCGTAACCTTCCCATTTAATCAAATACCCCTACCAAAATGAAACCGCTTTAAGAGCGCTCTCAACGCGATCTTAAGCCATATAAAGCACAAGTAGATGCCGCTGTTAAGAGCGTTCTGAGAACGCTCTTATCTGCCATGTTTTAAGATTGTGCCTTCTCAAGCGTTCTTAAGCGATCTCAAGAGAGCGCTCTTTGCAGGGAATCTCAAGCGTTCTCAGCGATCTTACCCGTTCTCAAGGACATTCTCAAACCATTTTCTCACGCATTCTTAAGCAATCTTTCACCACTCTCAAGCATTCTTACACCGTTCTCTCACCATTCTTAAGCGTTCTTAAAGCGTTCTCAAGCGTTCTTACACCGTTCTCTCACCATTCTTAAGCGTTCTTAAAGCGTTCTCAAGCGTTCTTACAGCGTTCTCTCACCATTCTTAAGCGTTCTTACAGTGTTCTCAAGCGTTCTTACACCGTTCTCTCACCATTCTTAAGCGTTCTTAAAGCGTTCTCAAGCGTTCTTACAGCATTCTCTCACCATTCTTAAGCGTTCTTAAAGCGTTCTCAAGCGTTCTTACAGCATTCTCTCACCATTCTTAAGCGTTCTTAAAGCGTTCTCAAGCGTTCTTACACCGTTCTCTCACCATTCTTAAGCGTTCTTAAAGCGTTCTCAAGCGTTCTTACACCGTTCTCTCACCATTCTTAAGCGTTCTTACAGCGTTCTCAAGCGTTCTTACACCGTTCTCTCACCATTCTTAAGCGTTCTTACAGCATTCTCAAGCGCTCTTACAGCGTTCTCAAGCGTTCTCACAGCATTCTCAAGTATTCTTGCAGCGTTCTCAAGCGTTGTTACAGTGTTCTCAAGCATTCCGTCCCCCAGCATTCTTAAACCGTTCTTAAGGGCGCCTTCAAACAGAGGTATGCCCAACAAAAACCTAGGGCCACCATCTCACTAGAGCCCGATTCTCACAGCAGACCACTTTCCCATTCGGGCAGACACACATATGAGGTCAGGTCCACCATGCCAGCACTTATACCTACAACATATCTACAATCACACGCTCGATCCATGCTGGAACTGCATATGGTACTGCAGCATACCAAATGAATGAGTGTTATGATGGATCCCTGAACGCGATCACAAGGCCTATGCTAACTACTCGCAACTAGGCGCAACTAGGCGCATGGACAGGACAGCCCAATAGCCAAGTACAGCCCCACACACCGCCTACACTTCCCACACCTAAGGTGGTTCCTAACAGGGCGTGTATCACTCCAAGTCCACTGCATCCAACTGCTTCTTGCTCAGCCCAGTGGTCCTCATGGCCCACTGGACTGCGGTCATCTTGCCCTTGACTGCGAGCAATCCCACAATGGGCCATCGCACCTGCAGACAGAAGCAACCAGAACAAAGTCAACACATGTGATGCAGACACGGTATCTCAGCTCAACCTTGATTTACCTTCTGGAAGAGGCGGAGTGGCCGGTCGTTTAGTGCAAAGGACTGGCCAGTCGGGGGAATGTGCACAGTGCCAAGGTCCTTGATGACTGCCATGGCGCGGCCAATCACCAGGAGATCAGTGCAGCCGTCAGCGGTCTCGCCATCCTGTATGTTCATAGGGGGTAAGAGGCCAGGCGGCAGTTACAAGCACGCAGACGGAAGTTCTTTTTAGGGTACGAA